AATATTTCATTCTGGTTGCTGGAGCTTCGATGTGTTGCCAAGTTTTAAAGACTAGGTCTGGGGTGCAACTCTTTTAGCAAATCACATAACACTGAGCAGCAAACCATGCAGCTAGAAGGACTGCTGTGACCCTCAATGTTAAACCTACATAACCCACTTGAGTTCTGAGAAAGGAAGAACAGCTCAAGGCCCCACACTTTGCCGAGTGTGTCAACCATCAAGAAGAGGACAAAATGAACACACACTGTCCTCGCACACATGTAAAGCGGGACCTATTCAGACACGTGTGCCCACAGATCACGCTCATGGCATGATCCTCTTCAGATATGAAGGCGCTGGCAAACATTCCTGCAAAACATGAATATGTTTCACATGCTACGCATGTGAAATTGGAAAGAGCCGGGTCCCCTCCCACGGGAGGTTCAAGTATCTTGGAACTGTTTTGATGAGAGCAGTTTGGTGCAGATGACAGGGATGGGAAACATTCTCCAAAGGCAAGTGGAGTTTGGTGCTGCCAGTGGAGGATGGCTTATTTACTGTGTTTTGTTGTTGTTGTTGTTGTTTGTTTTCTTGTACTAAGACTTCATTATCCTAGAATGGAATTTCTTATTTCTGGGCGGGTTTCTACATTTCTAGGTTTCAGTCACAGCCAGTAAAAATAAGAGAGACACTAAACAGAAAGATATTCTAGGGCAATAAACTAGAAAATAAGTAAGTCATCAAGGTCAAGAGACAGGGAAATTTCAAGGTCTGTCATCCATGTAGATGAGCCAGATGGCTTTGTTTCTAGGTTTGTTCTCATTCTCCTTGATATGTGGTGATTTATGGAAAAGCTACATTAAATGGGAGATCTTTATTTGGAAATGTTCATTTTTATACTATATGATGGACATCCATAGTCTTTCTGTATCTCTAAAAATTACTACTAATCTTTGGAGGAAAACACAGATTCTTTTGTCAGGATGCTCCCAGAAGATAGAATTGGCACTGCTCATCTTTAATTCTGGGCTTTTCTGGTGGTAAAAATGGCCCTCCACTGAGGGGTGGGTGGTCTGTCTGTTTTCTTAAGGCACTGTGAAGCCTGGAATTGGAAGGCATACTCAAGCCAATTTTGAGATATATCACTTTTGGCTCTTGAAAGGCAGGAAAAGTATGAAGTGGCCTCTGGGTTGAACTAACATTTTGCTGAGGGTCATTCCAGTGCTCAGCACTGCATCCACCTGTGCTGATGTGAGGCGCCTGGAATCCTGAGACAGCGATTCCCATACAGCACAGACAGCGCAGGCACCCAAGAAACACTAACTACCATTACTGTGGCTGTTCCTGTTGCTAATGTTTCTGGGGCTAAATACACAGTGTTCTTCCTTGTTTTTAAAGAGTACCTGACTGTCACATCATACATTTCTCTTAAAACCTTAATTTAATTTCATGACTTCAAGAGTAAGAACATATTTTTATTTTTAATTTTTTTTTTTTTTTTTGAGACAAGGTCTCACTCTGTCGCCCAAGCAGCAGTGCAGTGGCATGATCATGGCTCACTGCAGCCTTGATCTCCTGGGCTCAAGTAATCCTCCCACCTCAGCCTCCCCAGGAGCTGAGACTATGGGCATGCGCCACCATGCCAAGCTAATTGTTTTTTGTATTTTTTGTAGAGATGGGTTTCACCATGTTACTCAGGCTGGTCTCAAATTCATGAGCACAAGCAATCCTCCTGCCTCAGCCTCCCAAAGTGCTGGGATTACAGGCATGAGCCATCACGCCTGGCTCAAATATCTTTTTCAATCGACACAAAATATCTCTACTACTGGACATTTTTGTTTCTGTTCCATTCTTCTCCCAAAGACTTCAATTAATTAGCAATGCAGTCAGTATCATACAAAATTTTCTTTTATTTAAATGACACACGCTTCAAGAGCTGTATATTTTTATAGACACTATATACATATATGCTATATCCATATCTGTATATACACACATCATGTGTATTTGTAATTTGCTTTTATGTAAGATTAACATACACGGACACACATTATCTCACCCACTGTGTACCTATACTTTGTCATCCTGAATAGTTAAAAAGTAGCAATTTAAAAAGGAACTTGCATTCTATTGTTTTTATGTTTAGAAAACAATATGGCAAGTTAAGAAATTTTATTTTTAAAAATTGGGCCTGTATGCCGTTTAAAGTTCCTAAGTTTAATTTCAAATTGGAATTTGACTTTAAGTTTTCAATGATAAACAATCCTCTCATTATCTCTGGAAAGTTGCAACCACATCTGACTCAGTAGCTCTAGAAATGGGGGAAGGCAGTATTAGAGGATTCCTTTTCCCTCTCTGGTTGTATGATTTAGAGTGACAAAAGACAATAATTTTTATTTAGCTCTTAAGTACTGAAATCAAGAAGGAGGTTAAGACTTTTTATTTATACCACTTTGTAAATTATTATTTCTGAGTATGGGTTTAAACTGAACTCCAGCTGGAGTCTATCTCTATAGTTCCAAGCCTCCCAGAATGAAACGTTTTAAATATTATCTTGGCTGGGGTGGTGTGAGGAGTAACCACGACAGTGCCTCTGGGTGACACACAGCTTTAACTTCAACCTCAAAAATTCCATTACTCCCATGGCGACGAGCGGAGGGGAGAATTGTGAACTGCTATTTATGGCTTCTTTTAAATAGTTTATTTCAATCACAAAAGTTACAGTTTTATAAAGGCAGGGGAGGAAGGAGAAAGAATGAATTCAGAAAGCTCACATGCACCACAAAGCCTGAGCTCACTCTGAGAAAGGGTTAGTAAGATTTCAGATTCTTCACATTTTATGAAGCCTATAGTAGAGATGGTTGCTGGCCTGCCGGTAACAGTGCTTGTTTTTGTTGTTGTTGTTGTTTAATAGTGGTCTACTCTGTTTTGATTCATATGGAAAAGTAAAGGCTTCAGCCAGATGCGGTGGCTCACACTTGTAGTCCCAGCACTTTGGGAGGCTGAGGCGGGTGGACGGCTTGAGTAACATTTCAACAAAATGATTTTACACATGCTTGGAGCTCTAGTACAACTATCCCTTGATATCTATGGGGGACTTACTCCAAAATACCAGAGAATACCAAAATCCACAATGCTCAAGTCTCTTCCACAAAATAGGGTGGCATCTGCATATAAGCTATGCACATCCTCTCGTATATTCTAAATCATCTCGAGGGGACTTAGAATACCTAACACAATGTCAATGCCATGTAAATAGCTGCTGTATTGTATTGTTCTGCAATTTTTGTTTTTTTATTGTTGTAATGCTATTTTTTAAAAAACTATTTTGATGGTGTGGTTGAATCCGTAGATGTGGAGGCCGCAGATGGAGGGCTGACTGTGCCTCTCATGCATCCTGCTCATCTGACCCATCCAATATCCACAGGAGGACGACTGCCAGGGAGGGAGCCTTAGTGACCAGGCTGAGGGGCGTGAAGGGAGCTGGGAGCTTAGAGAAGTGGGGCAGAGTCGATGGCGAGGGGGCATCGGAAACAGTAAACTTATAGTTCCAGTCTAATCCTAAAACCATCTGATACCAGTCACAAGACACAATCTATGAAATGCATCAACAAAGAAACTCTAAGACAGAAACTCTACCCTTCCCCTTCTATTTTCCTACTCTTAAAGACGGAAAGCACGGAATTATTTAGTGGTGAACATTTTGGGGGAAATCATGTCTGATGACTGACTCCACAAATGGTTTCTCTATAAAGAATTTCAAGTTTTTAAAGGAAGGCACCAGAATCGGTTTTATAATAATCTTTCAATTATTCAATGTAATAAAAAATGTTTGTTATACTAAGTGAAAAGGAAGAAAACATGGTTTCTGCACTCATGAGTTTATACTTTGGATCAGTGAATGGAACAATGGTTCCCATCATTAGATTATTAAAAAAAAAAAAAAGAAGAAGAAAGGAAATTAAATGTTAAGTATCTGGAGTTACATATATACAACGACTTTAAAAGCATAGCTTAACTCCTCTTTAAGATACTCCTCTGACCAACCAGAAACCCTATTTTACATATGAGGAAATTAGGGTCCCAAAAGGTTAAGCAACTTTCCTAGAACCAAGGCTATAAAGCAGAGGGCAGGCTTCCCTGGCTCCAAGCCCAAAGGCTCTTCCCATGTACTGAGTTATCTTGCAGTTATACATAATTATATAATTTTACTGCCATAGACAGGGATAGCTATACCAATGGCGGTGAAATGAGCTTCCTCCTTCTCTTGTGTTTCAGTGAATGCTAAAATCAGTCAGCATGATCATCATCTTTAGTAACTGAGGGAGAAAAGAACCAGCCCATGGCACGTTAGGTGATACATGGGCCAAGGTGGGATTAAAAGTTTGCTTGATACATGAAATGACAAAATTGTGAAAAATGCATACATGTTAGGAAAAATTTAATAAGTTGAATGAACTTAATAAGGAGGAAGGTGGGGAAGACCCCACAGAATGTGGAACTGAGTGGTGATTCTGTAGGTTAAGAAGTGCTCCTCTCTTTATACACTGTCTTAGAGCATCTTCTCAAGTCTATGTGGAGAAAACAAAAGTCTAGAACGTGAGAGAAATAGTGATGCTTCTTTGTATCAAATTATCATTTCCTGCACTGCATGGTCAGAGTTGCAGCTGGGTAGGAGAGACACAACCCCACAGTGGCAGCACCCAGCAGTCAGTGGCTGCCCTCACCACCCTCTGTGCCCGCCACGACGTGAACTTCTAGAGGAACACAGAAGCAACCAGTAGCCTGTCTCCCTCCTTTACGTGATGTGACTAAGTTGCCAGATTTTGCATAAAAATAAAATCACACTGTATTTTCCTGCTAATGATTAAAAAAAAAGCAAGATTCCAAAAGGAAGGCAAGGTACAAGTCTTTTAATAGATTTTTTTTTTTTTAAAGATAGGGAAGACATGACAAATATTTAGGAATCAGGTTTCCGGTCACTTGACTAATGACTGCCTTCTAACACTGTTCTTTTCTAGCTTGAGAATTATATCCAGGACAACATGAAAAAAGAAATGGTAGAGATACAGCAGAACGCAGTACAGAACCAGACGGCTGTGATGATAGAAATAGGGACGAACCTGTTGAACCAAACGGCGGAGCAAACGCGGAAGTTAACTGATGTGGAAGCCCAAGTAAGTAAAGCCACATAAAGCACACAGTGTCCCCGCAGCTAGAGACTAGCACTTGGTCACGTCAGGAGCTTCCTCAATGAAGGATAAGAAACTAAAGAAAGCACCACCAAAGGAGAAAAGGAATGAACTGATAAGAAATTAAGGATGTATGGCTGGTTATGAATTTAAAATCAGTAAATGTTTTTGTTTTTCATACTGAGGTTAAATTTCATGTGTTCTATCTACTGAAGACATCTGAGTCATTTTCATGCCACATATCCCTGACTGCTGCAAGAGGAACACCCGCTCTGTCTCCCTGGTGCTTTCTGGACTCCGGGAATCATTTTCCATTTCTAAGTCCTAAAGTCTTTGAACATTTGAGAAATGAAAAGCACTGAGGCAGAGAGCTAGAAACTCTGGCCTTAAATCTAACTCTTGAGTTAAGATAAAACCTGAATCTCAATTGATAACACAGCCTGCGGAATGAGTTTATGGAGAAGGAGACGAGTAGGACAGTGAGAGGCGTCCGGCCACAGAAAAGATGGTGTGTGCCAGAGCAAGAGCCTGGAGTGCTGCCACGGCTTCAGGTCCGCCACCAACCAAATAAATGCATCAGAACAAGGCACTCACCTTTTCTGGGCCTCAAATAAGATAAAGGACTGGGCCAGACAAGTGATTGCTAAGTTCTCTTTCTACTGAGATTCTATGAGCTAGTGATTAATAGTAACAGAAAGAAGACTATGAAATAGTAAACTTGTGGCCAGGTGCAGTGGCTCATGTCTGTAATCCCAGCACTTTGGGAGGCCAAGACAGGTGGATCACCTCAGGTCAGGAGTTCGACACCAGCCTGGCCAACATGGCGAAATCCTGTTTCTACTAAAAAATACAAAAAAATTAGCCAGGCGTGGTGGCGGGCATCTGCAATCGCAGCTACTTGGGAGGCTGAGGCAGGAGAATTCTTTGAACCCAGGAGGCAGAGATTGCAGTGAGTTGAGGTCGTGCCACTGCACTCCAGCCTGGGCAACAGAGTGAGACTCCAACTCAAAAAAGAAAGCGGGGGGGGGGGGGGAAATGAAGCAACAAAGGAACAAACTAGTAAAATAACAGCAAAATAGGAAAATTTCAAAAGAAGAAAATTCACCCAGAGTCATGCTAAACGACGTACAACATGTGACCCAGTGAACAGCCGGGGTGGGAAAGGGAAAAGCTGCTATTAGCAGCACAAATGCAGATGCTCCAAGTTCAAGGCCGTGGTCGTGACTCTCGGCGGCCAAGCCTGCTTTCTGACTCCTCATCCTGGCTTCTTTACAGGCTTTTGAAGTTAGTGTCTTCCCACTCTGGGCTATAAGGAATGCTTTTTAGAAAAAGAGTAGATTTAAGTGAAACCATCCCTACTCCATATTATTCCTATATGCCACCTCAGCTGAAAGGATCAAGAAATGCTAGATGTCAGCCAGGAGAGGACATGAGAGCGGAGATGCCATCAGCCCTGCCACTCTCGTGAGACCCATTCTAGAAGGGCACAGCTGTTCTTTCATTGTCTTCCTAAAAATGGTTGGATGAAGTAAGAGAAAACAGTAGCAAAATGATAGACAAACAAAAGACTTCTAGATAAGAGCATAGAATAACAAATTACTTGATTACCAGGCCTTTTCACAATATCAGAACAGTTCAGGAAAAACAGACATAAATATTTTACATAATGGATCATAAGGTACTAAAAAGTTAATCCTAGGAAGTCATAAAAATTAAAGATTTAAAAGTCAATATATCAATATACATCTACAATCAATTATTATTAGGTTGGACCAAAAGTAACTGGAGTTTTTGCCATTACTTTTTTTGTTTGCTTTTTTTGAGATGGAGTCTCACTCTGTTGCCCAGGTTGGAGTGCAGTGGTGTGATCTCGGCTTACTGCAACCTCTCCCTCCCGAGTTTAAGCAATTCTCGTGCCTCAGCCTCCCGAGTAGCTGGGATTACAGGCACCCGCCACCACGCCCGGCTAATTTTTTGTATTTTTAGTAGAGACGGGGTTTCACCATGTTGGCCAAACTCGTCTCAAACTCCTGACCTCAGGTGATCCACTCGCCTTGGCCTCCCAAACTGCTGGGATTATAGGCGTCAGCCACCATGCCTGGCCACTATTACTTACAATGGCAAAATTGCACCAACCTATTAAAATAAATTAGTAATGATTAAGTCACTTGCCCCACCTTTCGTTAGTAAGACTGATGGGCAATTTAATAGCTCATCCAAAAAATGTCCCATAAGCATTTTAAAAATATAACATTTCTTATATTTTAAAATAATAGTTAGATCCAACCCTGGGAGCTTGGCAAAAATTTTAAAAAATAAAATAAAATCATAGTAATGAAAAAGTGTTAGGACAGAGCAGCAATGCAAACCTTGCTGCATCCTATAGAGGTCAGAGGCTTCACAGCATTTAACGTGCTTGTGTTGGGTCACGTGATTTAAACAAATGCCTATTGTGAAACTAGATATCATGTTATCCAGGATTACAGGAAAATAAGAAAACAGATGGAAAGTAAACAGCTTTTCCATGTAAAGCCCAACTGAACACATGAAAATGGCGGAGCCAGCTGGGCACGCTTGCTCAGATCTTAATCCTAGCACTTTGGGAGGCCAAGGTGGGTGGATCGCTTGAGCTCAGGAGTTCAAGACCAGCCTGAGCAATAAACCCCATCTCTACCAAAAATACAAAAAAAAAAAAAAAAAAAAAAATTAGCCAGCGTGCTGGTGTGCACTGTAGTCCCTGTTCCGTGGGAGGTTTAGTGAGGCACAAGAATTGCTTGAGCCTGGGAGGCAGAGTCTGTAGTAAATGGAGATGGTGCCACCACACTCCAGCCTGGGCAACAGAGTGAGACCCTGTCTCAAAAAAATGGCTGAGCTTAAGGAAGGCCACAAAGAGACTGAAATATGTACCCACTCTGTTTGAAGGCATTTGCTGAGCAGTTAGTGATTTTGTGAAATAGACTTAAATTCAAATATGAAAATTCCTGATTAGAAGCAAGGTTCTCCAAGCTTGTCAGAATGAGAGACAATCGAATTGAGCATGATGGGTGGCTAGAGGTCTCATATCTTAAAGGGAATGGCAGATCATTAGCTGGCCTGGGTAATTTAGAGAGTCCCCTGCAGATGAAGGCCTTCAGGCTGGTCCAGCGGTTTGATGCTCTCCAGAAAAGTGATGTGAAAAACAGTTACAATTACTATTAGGCCAATCACGACTTATATGCCATCCTTCCCTGCCTCCCCACCAAATTTTACTCATTTTATAACCCTTATGAATTAAATAGGAGACACAATTTTCCAGTTCCTTTTAGAAATAACCAACATAGAATGTTTGGACCCAAAGAAGACGTAGGCCAAATCTATATTCCAGGTGTTAATATTAAAACCCAAACAAAACCTTACGTTGGCCAAGGATTTTATTCTCACAGAAGACTTTTCGTGATAAGAACTAAACTAGCTCTAAGGATAAGCCTATCCCTGAAAGCCATGCTGCGGCCCAGCCAAGGCTCCTGGAAATGACATAAAGACACCAGCTAACAATGATTCTTTCAAGGTCCCCGGTTCCTTGGCAACAATGCTGACTGACATTTGCATGTGCTATCACATCCGGAATAAGCATGACATGGAGGAAGTGAGTAATCGATTCTTCCTGCTGAGGGGCAGCCAGGCGCTAGAGAATCCATGGGACAGTGGCACTGGTCATGCCACACAGTAGGTCACAAAAGCCCGCACAGCAAGGCTGAGGCTCTGCTTCATACTGATGCTATATGGCTTCGATTGGTTCAAACAAATTTTAAAACAGGAAAGAGAAATGGCAAGAAGAAATAAAAGTCTAAATAAGTGGTGACAAATGAGGAAATGCCAGGCTAAAAAATTATCTATATCTTCATATAATGGAAGCATGTGACTTCCAATCTCTCTGTCTACTGACAAATACATATAAGAATAACATTTTGTTTTCAGCAAAGGGAAAATACTTTTGACCTATGAAATATGACCATTTGATACTCCTACTTGTCTCATTGTGTAAAATAGAATATGGCAGACTAGAAAAATAACATTCATTATTTGACACAAACCCCATTGTCCAGAACTACTAACCATTTTTCAAAATAGAGACATAACGGCCGGGTGCAGTGGATAATGCCTGTAATCCCAGCATTTTGGGAGGCCAAGGCAGGTGGATCACTTGAGGTCAGGAGTTCGAGACCAGCCTGGGCAACATGGTGAAACCCCATCTCTACCAAAAATATAAAAAATTAGCCGGGTGTGGTGGTGTGCACCTGTAATCCCAGCTACTGGGGAGACTGAGGCAGAAGAATCACTGAACCCAGGAGGTGGAGGTTGCAGTGAGCCGAGATCATGCCACAGCACTCCAGCCTGGGCAATGGAGTGAGACTCTATCTCAAAAAAAAAAAAAAGAGACATGTAAGGAAAAGAGTAAAAAGGTTTAACACACTGAGATGTGATCTAAGACACTGAGCCTTTTCTGAAAATGAAAAATATGCCAAAATAAGATACTTGGGTTAATAAATAATGTTTTGGTTATGTTTCCTCTAGCTCGGGTACTTTAATGAAAAGGAAGTTAGAAAGTTAAACTAATTAAAACATAATTAATAGGAACTTCATTTTGTTACATTTAGGTATTAAATCAGACCACAAGACTTGAACTTCAGCTCTTGGAACACTCCCTCTCGACAAACAAATTGGAAAAACAGATTTTGGACCAGACCAGTGAAATAAACAAATTGCAAGATAAGAACAGGTAATAACAGTACTAAAACATTTATAGTTCAGAATCGTATACTTTCCAGATACGAAAGTCAGTCTCAAATGATGAATTATCAGAATGCTGAGTTTCTTCATATCTAGTGTAAGGGTCAGAAACCTCATGAGGGAGGAGAAGGGAGAGGGCTTGGAGAAAATTCTTGCACAGGCACAGATCTCCTAACACAGTCCTGGATTTTACCTTTCATTCCCTGGCCCCTTAAAGATCCTCTTACAGTAATCCTCCAAGCCCTGCCTCAGTATTACACATGCTAATCTATTTTAAAAATACAGCTAGTGTTGTGGAGTGAAAGGACCACTGGCCCAAGCATTTTATTTCAGTATTAACTTGACCAAGATCCTTTGCCCTTGGGGACTTAGCTTCGTTCAATGCAGAATGATCCACAGTATGAACGCTACACTTATACTATAAGCCAACGCACATTTTATGATCCAATGCTTCCTCTTCGAACACATGATAAAGTAAAACCAAAAATTAATATTAAACATGATTATATTAATATTTAAATAAAATATAGCAAAATCTCAAGATCAACAATAGAAAAAAAATTGTAGGTGATAGGTGGGGACTGTTTTCATAGGTCTGTTCCACTTGGGACATAAGAGGATAATTTTATGCACATACCTGGCGTGCCTATTTCCCTGTTTTTAATCAAGACATGTATAGACAACATGGAACATGGCTATAACAATATGTCCTATTTGACAATTTAAACAATTCTTTATTCTTAACCAAAAATGATAAACTTCTTGTTCAATAATTGTTCTTTACTGTTAATCAAGAACTAAGCTGAAATAATTCTTTCTGTTCTTTGGATATCAAGTTTAAGTCATTATTGATTTAGGGTTTTGAAAAGCAAATCGATGTTTAAAATTCAAACATTTTTCTTTCATGTTTCAGATTTCTCCTCTACAAAGAGTAAATGAACATTTGAGAGCAATCATTGAGATATAACAATCCGGCTAATTTCATTGTCTTTTCTGTTTTCCTTTCGAGACAGGGTCTCACTCTGGTTGCCCTGGCTGGAGTGCAGTCGTGCCATCTCAGCTCACTGCATCCTCCATCTCCTGGGCTCAGGTGATTCTCCCATGTCAGCCTCCTGAGTAGCTGGGACTACAGGTGTGTGTCATATACCCAGCTGATTTTCTGTATTTTTTTTTTTTTTTTTAGTAGAGATGAGGTTTTGCCATGTTGCCCAGGCTGGTCTCAAACTCCTGAATTCAAGCAGTCTGCCCGCCGCAGCCTCCTAAAGGGCTGGGATTACAGGCGTGAGCCACCGTACCCGGCCTCATTTTCTTAAAATAGTTTTACTTAGTAACGTTCTCTCCAACATGCTGCAGTGATTCCTGGAACACAAGGGAGCTGGAGATTACTATTCTCTTGCCTGTTATACAGTGATGTTTGTGACAAACCTAGGATATGTCCAGTTTGTAGAACACACCCTAATACTGAATACTGTTTCCCCAATTGGGTTTCAAATTTAGCATGCCACAATGTGAAAACTACTAATTTGGGTCAATTATGTCCCCCAAACATCATCTTTGCAAATATTTGTCCAATCATATTGACTTTCAACTATGCCTGTAGGAAGAATAAGCTTTTTCTCACAGCTGTAGAAACCATATTCTCTTTCATCACAGATACAAAATGAAATAAAAAGTTTTTTTTCATCAACAGCTATAAATAATTAAAAAAGAAAATAGTGTTGATGATTTTACAGGTATATGAGTTCTGCATGCTGTGTTTTCTCCCTTAAATTCTGATTGGCCTATGATTTTATTTGCAAGAATATCATTATAAAAATATGCAAATGGTATTTCACATTGGACAAACCACATTTTAAATAATCTTTTATAATTCCCCAAAAGAGCAATTGCTTTCTTTATAAAATAGATTCCAGCCAGGCACAGTGGCTCATGCCTGTAATGCCAGCACTTTGGGAAGCCAAACTGGTAGGATTTCTTGAGGCCAGGAGTTTGAGACCAGCCAGGGCAACATAATGAGAACTCATTTCTACAAAAAATAAAAAAATTAGCCAGGTGTGGTGGCACACACCTGTAATCCCTCCTATTTGGGTGGCTGAGGCAGGTGGATCACTCGAGCCCAGGAGTTTGATACCAACCTGGGCAACAAAGAGAGACCCCCATCTCTCCAAAATCACATACTGATTTACAATGATCAGGGGGCTGGAATACATTTAAGAGCTACAACTGAATATCTAATAATAATTATTAATACTGATTGTTATTGCTTATGGGTGAAACATGTAATGGGTAGGCAGTTCCTTGGCTGGTTAATATTGTTTACAGGGTTAAAGATTCAGAAAACGTTACTATCAAAAAAAAGGTGGATTTACAGATCATTTGAACTAAAAGGGGCCCGAGAGGTCATCAAATTGAATGCCTTCATTTTACATAGAGCTTTATTTAGATAGATATGCACCGAGACAGACGTGCCTCTGAGGTCCACAGCAGGGTGGCTGCCCATGTGACACAGGCAGCCATGTGCAGAGGTGGGATTCCCAGCCCAAGGCTCCCTCCTTTCGCCTGAAGGTGCTCGTGACACCAAAGGTGACTTTTCACGGTCTCCATTTTCTCTTCAGTGAAACCGTGACCTTCATATGTATTCCCTGTGATAACTTCTATTTACAGAACTTACATGGCCACAAGGGTAGTTTTTCCTCAAGGGAGAGATTAATAGCCTCATCTTTTTAGCTTGATGATGTGAAGACCATCAAAACATCTAAATTTCCACAGTCTGAAGACTATGGTTCATAATGCTTTCATTTCTTGATTTTTCTCCAAAACCCTGAAAAACACCTTGTACATGGTAGGTGTTCAGTACCTCTCTGTTAAAGATAAACGGAAGGTAAGACATGATCTGAACCCAACTATCACTCAGTGAAATGTGCCTGTCAATTTCACATGCTTTCGGTTCCTAGGAAAGTAAGTGCAAAGTGATTCCGGAGGCTTTAGATAATTCACAGTAGTGTTAAATGGCCGGTTCAAGGTTTCTTTATCAACTAAGTGAGAAAATAATTTTTCTCTGCTCTTCATATGCCTTTTCAGAAAAGCTAGTGAAATGTATAGAACATTTCACTGGCTTCTAATGTGACATTAACAGAAGCTGTGATAACGTGTTAGTAGCCAGAACATAATTCTGAAACATAAAGATGCCATCATTGATACATTCCATTATTAAATAAGAGAGCTGACTTATACTGGACTCCAAAAAAGGGAATATGAGGTCTCCTTCCTTTAAAACAAAACCTTGCAATGTGCAAATTCGTGTGTAATAAACTTTATATTGGAAGGAAAATGTCAGAGAGAGGAATTTGACATCTGGTCACTGTTTTACTATTTTTAAAAGTGTCTATATTTTGAAAGCTTTATTTACTGGCCTTGTACAAACAAAGTGAAGATACTGAAACATCTTTAGTTGCTGCTTTTCCTGCAGTGATCACAGAAAGCCTCTTTAGGTGCTGAATAATGTAGTGTCAGGCTATCCAATTTTCCTCTTCTATCTTATTAAAAAAAAAGAAAAAAATGCCAGCCAGGCACGGTGGCTCACGCCTGTAATCCCAGTACTTTGGGAGGCCGAGGCGGATGTCTCAGGAAGTCAGGAGTTCGAGACCAGCCTGGCCAACATAATGAAACCACATCTCTACTAAAAATACAGAAAATTAGCTGGACCTGGTAGCGTGCCTGTAATCCTAACTACTTGGAGGGGCTGAAGCAGGAGAACTGTTTGAACCTGGGAGGTGGAGGTTGCAGCCAGCCGAGATTGTGCCACTGCACAACAGCCCAGGCAACAGTGCGAGACTGTCTCAAAAAAAAACCAAAAAACAACCTGCCAAGTACCTTGACTATGTATGTCTTTGAGTTGGTTCCTGGGAAACAGTTAATATTCTCAAATATACGGCCTCTACTCTCTTGGATTTGTTTCCTCTGGCTTAACGGACAGGAACTACTTTTAGTTTAAAAGTGGTATGCTCTTCATTGAACATATTTGTAGTAACGTATGTTTATAAGTTGAAATTAGAAAGGCAAACTATATAACCATTAATAAAATATCTTAGGACTTGCATGGCATAATTTTACCAGCTCTCTAAATAATGTTTAAAAAGCTTTTCGGCCAGGTGCGGTGGCTCATGCCTGTAATCCCAGCACTTTGGGAGGCAGAGGCAGGCAGATCACAAGGTCAGGAGATCGAGACTATCCTGGCTAACATGGTGAAAGCCTGTCTCTACTAAAAATACAAAAAATTAGCCTGGCATGGTGACACGCGCCTGTAGTCCCAGCTACTTGGGAGACCGAGGCAGGAAAATCGCTTGAACCCGGGAGGTGGAGGTTGCAGTGAGCCGAGATGGCACCCTTGCACTCCAGTCTGGGAGACAGAGCAAGACTCCATCTCAAAAAAAAGGAAAAAAAAAAAAAAAAGAAAAGAAAAAAAAAAAGCTTTCCAAGGGCCCAGCTCACATGTTAACTGTTAGGTATTAAGTACATGCGACAGTGCTGGTTAGATTTTTTAGAGAAGGAAGGGGGCCACATAAAAAGAAGGAGAGAAGCAGATTTCAGAGTCAGAAAGTTCTGGGATTGGATTCTTCCCCTGCCACCTGCTGTGTGTGACTTTAGGGATGTGATTCATTGTCTCTACATTTCTTTTCTTTTTTTGGAGACGATGTCTCGCTCTGTCGCCCAGGCTGGACTACAATGGCATAATCTCAGCTCACTGCAACTCCACCTCCCGGGTTCAAGCAGTTCTCCTGCCTCAGCCTCCCGAGTAGCTGGGATTACATTCATGCACCACCACACTTAGCTAATGTTTCTATTTTTAGTAGAGACAGGGTTTCACCATGCTGGCCAGCCTGGTCTCGAGCTCCTAGCCTCAAGTGATCCACCTGCCTCAGCCTCCCAAAGTGCTGGGATTACAGGCGTGAGCGACTGAGCCCGGCCCTCAATGTCTCTAAGTTTCAATTTCCTCATTGGAAATGGGGATAATAATGTTAATATTAATTTTAACAAACATCCATTGAGTGTTACTGTGTGGCAGGAGCTAGTCTAAGTATTTACATTTTAAAACTCATTTGTTCCTCAGACCAACCCCATGACCTAAGTAATATTATCCTAATTTACAGGTGAGGACATTAATGCATAGGATGACTAAGTAAACTGTTCCAAGTCACAGGCTGGTAAGCCAGGACTTGAGTCTGAGAGAAGTATTCACCTCCTGATGAAGGAGTATTTCTCACATAGCATTAAGTGCTATTATTATCATTAGGATTAATATTAAAATATAAATAGTTTAGGAGACAGCTAATATCCTACCCAAGGGTCCAGCCCCGTTGAAACTCTACCTTCTCAAAAAAGCACATCATGAGCACTAAGCTTGAAAGAGCAGCACCCTTCTTCTGAACGCTTGGCATCTAATACACGTATCACCTCTGTCCCACCTATCCTGGGCCAGATGGGTACCTTTTCTTGTGTGTATGCATAAGTCTGCATGTACATACATACATGCTTATATGTTTACATATATACACACATTTATATATCTAATCTTCTCAGCAAGTTTCAGAGATTCCTTAGGGCTCTGGTAACATCTTATTACTTTATAACCACCACAATATCTTAACAGAGTGCCTTGGAGAAGTAGAAATTCAATAAATATAAAATATTTCATTAGAATAGCCTTCACTAACTAATAATTCTTTTCCCTACAAGTTTCCTAGAAAAGAAGGTGCTAGCTATGGAAGACAAGCACATCATCCAACTACAGTCAATCAAAGAACAGAAAGATCAGCTGCAGGTGTTAGTATCCAAGCAAAATTCCATCATTGAAGAACTAGAAAAAAAAATAGTGACTGCCACGGTGAATAATTCAGTTCTTCAAAAGCAGCAACATGATCTCATGGAGACAGTTAATAACTTACTGACTATGATGTCCACATCAAACTGTAAGTTTACATATCATGTTTTCTTCAGCTTTAATAACCTTTAGTCAGTAAAACTCTCAAAAGACTAAAAAATTTATCTTTCAGAAAAGGCACTATTTCTCATATATTTCATATGAAATATCTACCAATTAAAATGAAGGAAGAAGAGAAGGGGAAATATATGTTATACTAATTATTATGAAGGAAACACCCCAAACATACTTTGGATTCATAGCAGTAAAGAGCCTACTTTTAGTTAGTTCCATCACTAATTAGAAGGATAAGACTAGGCAAATTACTAAACCACAGTGGATATTAATTTATTTAGGTTTTACTTGGGAAAAATAATATCAGACCCATGGGATGGCAATTAAGATTAAATGAGATAATACTCTCAGTGAGTGGCATAAACTGGCACTTAAGAGATGCTAGTTCCCTTATCTTGCCAGGTTCTTAAGCACATTTTGCCTTCCTTATTATTGTTTTACTTTGCAGCTTCTCTTACATATTGGAGGGAAGGGCCAGGGGTGGTGGTTCATGCCTGTAATTCCAGCACTTTGGGAGGTTGAGGCAGGAAGATCACTTGAGGTCAGGAGTTCAAGACCAGCCTGGCCAACATGGTGAAACACAGTCTCTACTAAAAATACAAAAATTAGCTGGGCGTGGTGGTGGGCACCTGCAATCCCAGCTACTAGGGAGGCTGAGGCAGGAGAATCACTTAAACCTGGGAGGGAGGAGGTTGCAGTGAGCTGAGATTGTGCCACTGCACTGCACTATGTCCTCAGTGGGATAATGGCCTGAAGGGACAGGCAATGGGGTCGTGATACAGATAACAGTGTTTAGGGACATTCTTTTAAAATTCTTCCATACTAAGTTTACCCTCTTCTGTTCAAGATGAAAGATCTTCAAAAAGTAATAATTTAATTTATGTGACTGTGAAGTATTTTCATTACATATAATTGATGATCAACAAAGGAAGTTCAGATTATTTGAAGTATTTTAATTACATGGAATTAATGACCAAAAAGTAAATGTTAATCTTTTCAGAATTAATAAGAAAACAGTCTGAAAGCAAACTTTCTAGAAAGGTTAAAAAAGTGGCACAGCCTTTTGCTTACTTAAGAATTCCAAAGTAATAAAACTCTCCAAATGATTGGGTCTTGAAATAACAAGTCTTTGTCTTTTCGTGAACTCCGTTTAAATGCCTTACTATTTTTTAAAAGCAGCTAAGGACCCCACTGTTGCTAAAGAAGAACAAATCAGCTTCAGAGACTGCGCTGAAGTGTTCAAATCAGGACACACCACGAATGGCATCTACACGTTAACATTCCCCAACTCTACAGAAGAGATCAAGGTGAGGTGTTCGTCTCCTGTTACCAACTCCCTAGCTCTAGGCAGGCTGCTTTAGAGAGTGAGGAACCAAAGAGCAGAAGTCTCTCCCCAAAGATCTTCCCCTGCCCCACACAGTACAAAGCCATAGTTACTGGGCAGCTACCTCACCTAGAGCGCTTGCCAAGGGCTCTAAGTTCCGTTGCTGTGCAGGAAATACAGACGCTGCATATGAATGACATAGAACTGTCCATCTTATCTTCGGCAAGAAATATGTTCTCCTTGCATTTTGCTTGAATAACGCATACTGTCAGCTGTTTTTCCTGAGGTGTCAGACTCATTTCATTAATTTTAAAGAAAGTATCTTCCAAAAACTGAAGTTCGAATAACCATAGTGCATCAGCCATAGAGGTTTCATGAAATTAGTAATTTCTATTGGCACGCCAAAGTCATTTTTCAGCGATATGAGTGTTCTTTTTCGTGAGCAGCGGCTGCATAGTGACTTGTACAGTTTGCTACCGCTGCCCTGCCTCACGTGAGGATGGCACTTTTACCCACCGTGGTTTCTGCTCTAGCTGAGCAGACACTAACACAGTGCCACAGACCAGCGGTGTCAGCATCGTGAAAACAGTTTCAACCAGTGGACTTGCTGACATGGTCTCGGGGACACGCAGGATTCTGAGGTCCACACCATGAGAACCTCTGGGGCAGGCGATTCTAACCTCATCTAATGCAGTCTGGAAGACTCGAAACACACCATAAAGACAGCGTTCATTTTCTTCTCAAGCAGGGAGTTCGCTTCAAGGCATACGTTCGATTATTGCTTGTATTGTGAGTTGACTGCAGGTACTCATGACAGGCAAAGCCACAACACAGCTTACCTCAGTCATTCCTAGTTCTGCAGCCTCACTCAGAGAGCCTGTCTCCTGAAGGTGTTTTGGGAGATACTGAATTTTAGATGAGAAAAAAAAAAAAAATCACTTTTGGAGAACATTTCAATGTGGCTTCTCTTAAACATTTGATAGAGCAGAATGATATTACATGAGAATCAGTGTGGTGAAGGGTTATGTAACTACTGGATAACTGTATATATTAAATGTCTATAAATACATTTGCATATAAATGTAAAAGCAGCTACATATTGAACCAACACAAATAACTACAGAGAATACACTGGATACTGTACCAAAATGGAAAATTTCGAGGCTCTTGGAAGTATTATCTCTTTAAACTAAGTATTATCCTAAGTATTTAACACAGTATCAAAGAAAAACACTTTAAAAATACAAGCATTAGGGTTTTAAAGACCTGGAAGTTGAAACAGTAACATGTATCTTGATTATGAATGGAAAAGATAAATACTGTGCTATTCAACATAATGCTTTCCAAAGAAACCTTTCTAATTCATTCATGCTGTGTTAGATCAACCCTGAAAATTAGTTAATGTCCCTAATGCCGTAGAAGCAATACAACAGGGAAGGAAGGGAACAAACTCACAAACAACAGTCTGCTGCAGATGAGAAGGCAATGAACAGACTCTAGGCTAAGCCTTTCAATCTCTTTTGCTATGTGGTTTTCATGACAAGTCTGTGCATGCCATTGTCTGTCACCAGATGTTGCCATGTTCTTGGCCTAGGGTACAGGAGTGTCAAGAGGGGGGGCAGAGGATGCGTGTGAAATGGGGATGCCATGGACACCGATGCAGAGGGACAGCCGCTAACTGTGCAGCCCCATCACGTTGTTACATCTATGCTTCTCAGCCTAAGTGCAAGCTTCCCACCCCAGTGCACTGTCCCACCCCACGGCCCCCAGAATGACTGAAATACTCTGCAGAAAGAGGAAAATACATAGTACTCTGGGATTATATGAGCCTCAGGTCATGGTTGGAAACTTTAGGATTTCTATTGCCTTTAAACACTTGCTATAAGAGAAACTCATTTCCTCAGCAGGGAACAGTAAGCTTTCAAAACCTCAATTTTCTTATCTCGAAAATAAGTGGTGTCAATTGTTACCTCTAAATTCCCTTCCAGACTTAAGACTCCATAACTCACAATCTGATCCGGGGAGAGATACACAGGCTTGGATGTAAATTCTGGCTCTGCCATTTGTGGCTCTGGGCAAGCCATTTAACCTTTCTGAGAGCTCAGTTTCCCCATCTGTAACACCACAATGATACCCTCAACCTTGGGGGTTGTGACAACACAGGGACAGCCCCTGGGGTAGAACTTGGGACAGGAAATGGGAGTGGTCACCATTTTCACTGCCTTCGAAGACTACCAGAGAATTTCTCTGCCTGGCAGGGGACCCGATTCTGCCCTGGTTTATCTAATTCAAGAAAAGAATGTTCAATTGGTCTTTGAGCAGATCTTTTGCTAAAAGGCCAATATGTTGCAGCTTTAGTTTTGAAAAATTCATTAGGTTCTTGTACAAGAGAGAGACTGCCAGATGACATGTATCAAAAGCATGTATGCTTTTGCTAGAGACATGGTTATTTCCTTCCCTAAATTTCACGGGACACCTGACTCCTAATGTTTGTCTCTATGTTTGCTATTTAACCCATTACTTAATCATTGCCTCAGAGTTGAAGCAAGTCAAATATTATTTGCTGAAAAACCTCAAGCTTTATAGAAAGATATCAGGTTCCTGCACCACGCAGCAGTGGACAGATTAAAAATATTAACTGCCCTTAGATTTGTTGTAATTGGAGTGGTAAGGTCTTGGGAAGTATCTGAGGACTTCTGTTTTTCTGATCCTGATATAATCAATTTCAGCACTTTTACTCAGTATCTTCTGGCTGGGTGGATAACTATTTGAACACTATCTTTCTCTGCAAGTTTTATAGTCCAATTAACCATAATACTCCCGTTTTTACAAATCCTCTTTTTCTAAAAACCTGGATGAAGTACTAAGAAAGTGTTCTAATAACCTTATCATCATCACTAATGGAATCAAAGCGAATACGATATGGCTCAAATCATTTATGTGCTGGCAGTGACTCTTAGACATTTGAGAGTCTCGCCTCTGACTTCCATAACAAGATAAACTTGTTCTCTGAACAAGACAGAACGTGTATTTAAGTATTGGTAACTTCATAGCAGTGATTTTGACACTGAAGAATCAAATATTCTTGGAACAAGGATAGGCTCACCAAGAAATCACATCAATGCTTTCAACCCAAGAGCATACCATTTAGGATACAGAATCAATTTCAATATACGTACATGAATTCTCAAACCAACTTAGCTTATTCAGCTGGTTTATGAAATAGATTTTTAAAAAGACATATTGATAGAAGTGAGCAGCACTGACCATTTTGTTGACCACAGGAAAATAAGAGGCAGTATTATTCATGAACTGATTTAAACTTGGAACTGTGTTGAGGGACTTTTGGCCTATTTACCAAAGGGTCAGGTTTCTCTGTTTTTGGCAGCATTATGTCAGTGGAAAAAACATAACAGGAATTAAAGAGACCTTATTCAAATCCTATATATCACTTCGTAGGTGAGTAACTGATCAAATTAATCTAACTTTACTAAATCTTTTCTTCTTTCAAAAATGCAGAATTATGATAGTACAGCAGCGTTGTTGTGAGATTATCAATAATATACACAAAGTATCTGGCAGAGTGCTTGGATGAGAGTGGTGTGTAGCAATGATAATAATCATAGCAATACAGAGTGATAATAAGGGGTTAGCTTGAGCAGACTGATTTTCTACGTCAGATTAATTTAAAATGAGGAAATACTTTTCTTCTTAATAAATGTGATTTTCATTAATGAGACCTATCTTTCCAAACATGAGCGCCATTGGGGAAGGCAATACGAGCTGGGTGACCTTCCTGGAGAGAGACCAGAACCATGCTGGGGAGAAGTCCCCTGCAGACCAGGCTGTTCCAGGGACAGTTCTCTGGTTCCACTGGCAATGAGGCATCAGGCAGCCACTGCACTTCCTCTGCACCCCTCTTTCCTCATGTAGGAAATGAAAGAACAGGACTAGCACTCTCTCGGTTCTCTTTCTGCTCTCCTCTCTAGGATTCTAACTCATAAACAGAGAACAGTGCGCATTGAAGCTTACCCTGCCAAATCGCCTCCATTATGCTCAAGAAGACCACGGGGCACAACAAAGGAAGAATATTTATAATTGGTTTTGAGCCTTAACTTCAATATTTCCTACCTTGTATGTGGCAGAAAATTTATCTTGGTTTCTGGAAAACATGTTTCGTTCTACTGTAATCTTATTATTTAAAACTATTTATGTAATCTTATTTTCAGGGGTTTTTAATTTCATAATAAAACTCCAGCTGAGTTGAAATTGAGCATGCATGCGCTTAGCTTAAGAAAGAATTCTGTGTTCTGGACAAAGTTTAAACCCACAGAGCCAGTTTAAGAGCAGAAATAAAAAGAGTTGATTAGAGAAAAACTGTGGGCAATGAGCAATGTACAGAGAAGACTGAAGTCATGCCCTTGAGGCCAAGCTGCTAAGCCAAGCTCAGGTCACACACCTTGCACCAGGACACTGGAGCCTCAAGGCCCTTGTGCTCAGAGGTGAACCAAAAAATCTGATTAGTGTTGCACATAAAGGAAGCCAAACAGCCCCACAATATGAGAATGTAACAAGAGTCCTCCAAACCCTATGTTCAAAGCATATCCCCTTCACATAGCTCTCTGCAGAGCTGGCAGGGGCTGGCAATTAATGAAAGGTTTCAAGGCTGTGAACACAAGTCAATGGTTTTCTACAGGATGGAGATGTGGGGTTTGGGGCCAATCTGCCAAAATGTGCCATTCACGATGAATCTCTAAAAAATAGCAATCTCTGGGCCAGCCATCAGGGTGGGGGCTTTACCCTGGAACAGATGACGACAAGCGAGTCACATTCTCATCAACACTTTATATTATGTTACTGTTTATGTTTCACCATCATTTTAAATCCATCACTTTCAATTTATTTGAAACCATCTTTTTCTTAGACAACCCCGATGCTCTACTCCGTGCCTTATATCCCAGAGAACCCTCTCGGCCGAGTCCTGTATTCGGGGTCTACATTCCTCCTGCTTCTGCTGCGTAAGGGGATGGGGGCTCTGTCACTTATACCTTGCATTCCCGTTTGCAGGCCTACTGTGACATGGAAGCTGGCGGAGGCGGGTGGACAATTATTCAGCGACGTGAGGATGGCAGCATTGACTTTCAGAGGACTTGGAAAGAATATAAAGTGGTATGGACGTTCTGTAAGGCATCAGAAAAGAATTTCCCTTGTGAAAAATAGCTTTCAAGATCTGTGGAACCTTAACCACCAATCCCAAACTAACCAATTACTTTTGACATAGTTTTCTTTTTGGTAGAGATGGGGTTTCATCGTGTTAGCCAGGATGGTCTTGATCTCCTGATCTCGTGATCTACCCGCCTTGGTCTCTCAAAGTGCGGGATTACAGGCTTTTAAAATTGGTGTTCAAATTAGTTCTTCAAATTGGTATTTCAGTCTCCCCTTTAAAGAATGGCCAATATAAGGTAAACTGCATCAAAACAAAAACTGCAGCCAGGCGCAGGGCTCATGCCTGTAATCCCAGCACTTTGGGAGGCCGAGGCAGGTGGGTCACCTGAGGTCAGGAGTTTGAGACCAGCTGGCCAACATAGCGAAACTCTGTATCTACTAAAAAGACAAATATTAGCCAGGTGTGGTGGTGAGCACCTGTAATTCCAGCTACTCTGGAGGCTGAGGCAGGAGGATCGCTTGAACCCGGGAGGCAGAGGTTGTAGTGAGCCCAGATCATGCCACTGCCCTCCAGCCTGCCTGGGTGACAGAGTAAGACTCTCTCTCCAAAGAAAAAAAAAAAAAAAAGAAAAAACCTGGCTGCCACTGCTTAGCTTATTTTTAAAGGTGGGCTCAGCGTTTTTTTGGTAAGCCAACTGTTTCATGGTGCTTCACATTTCCATGAACTGAACTGTTTACGCTGAAGCTTCTGCTGGTGGCTCCCCAAGTAGTTCTCATTATCCTAATACAAATTATCTTTCAGCAGCAGCTTAGTGTCTAATAACTGACCTGTTTAAAATCCATTTTCTTTTGGGGAGGACCCTGAATTGTCACAGCACCAGAAGTAATTTCTGCTATTTGATAGTTATTCTATGTTAAGTTGACGGACTATCCACTTCAAATATACAAAGAAAAAATTACATGAAGTAATTGAATTTAACAACTTGCATTACAGGGATTTGGTAACCCTTCAGGAGAATATTGGCTGGGAAATGAGTTTGTTTCACAACTGACTAATCAGCAACGCTATGTGCTTAAAATACACCTTAAAGACTGGGAAGGGAACGAGGCTTACTCATTGTATGAACATTTCTATCTCTCAAGTGAAGAACTCAATTATAGGTAAGTGAGTTACTGGTAACTGAAAGAAAAAATTAAAAGATTTGTGGCTGGGCACGGTGGCTCACGCTTGTAATCCCAGCACTTTGGGAGGCTGAGGCGGGCGGATCACGAGGTCAGGAGATCGAGACCATCTTGGCTAACACGGCGAAATCCCATCTCTACTAAAAATACAAAAAAATTAGCCGGGCGTGGTGGTGGGTGCCTGTAGTCCCAGCTACTCAGGAGGCTGAGGAAGGAGAATGGCAGGAACCCGGGAGGCGGAGCTTGCAGTGAGCCAAGATCGTGCCACTGCACTCCAGCCTGGGCCACAGAGCGAGACTCCGTCTCAAAAAAAAAAAAAAGAAAAAAAGAAAAAAAAATTAAAAGATTTGCTGGGTGACTATTCTAGAAAATGAGAACCACAATGATTTAACCAAGATCTAAATTACTCCTTTATTACCTTAAATGGAAAAACATCTTATTTCTCAGAATTATTACCTCTTTAAGTTTCTCTGGGTTTAAATTTCTAACTTTGGTTATAACAATATAAAAGCAACTTCATACAAACAGTATTTTGTCCGTTGTGTTTACTGTGTATCTTCAAAGCCTAGAAGAATTCTGCCTGGTAGATAATTGGCTTTCATAGATACTTGTAAAATCGGTGAATGGTAAGTGTTCCCATGATGATACGTCATACGAATAGCATAAACGATGGATACTTGTGACTGTGATGTTTTATTCCGAAAGGTTTCAAAAGTTAATCTGTCTTTATGAAGTTTAAACACATTCAATTGTGTTCAATCTCAAAGTCAAGATTAGTTGTCAAGTTTAGAGATGGCAGAGTTAGGTGGGATGGTTAGTCAACTCTCCTCTCCTCTACAGGAAATACATCAGATTCACAGCATTCCCTGAGTGTTTGCCTTGTCCTCACCCATTTGGTGGCAATAATCATCAGTAATAGCATGGGCAACCTTGACCAGGAATTTGCTTTCTGCCTCTAAAATGCCATGAGAGTGGAGACAGAGAACAGCAATGGGACTTGACAACCTAGTGTGCAGATAAGTATGGTGAAGCCACAGGCACAGTAATGCTGGTACACAAGGCACAGAGAGGCAGTCTGAAATGTGTGCGCAATGGCAGGGGCAGAGAAGTGAGACTGTGTGCCCAGTGGCACCAACACCAGCCTAAAGGAGTCTAAAGAGCACAGACTGGTGGCACCCGGTGATCATGGAGCACACATTATGAAATAACCGCTTTGAGGTCAGAAATCAGCAAACGAAGGTCAACACGAACATCACAGAAACAGTCATCATCTGACCTACAGTCTCGTCTTCATCTCATTAATGCCCAAGTCAGACACTCTGCTCCAGGACCTGAACAGTCTGAAAGCAGACACAACGTTAAAGTCCTTGAGCAGGCTGCCCAGTGGGGGGCTGTAGTGGGCAGCACAGAGAAGCGGCTGAACGTCAAGTTGCCTGAACAACCAACTGAAAACTCTACAATGCCCAGTATGTCCTGTTTTACAAACAGTGAATGGAAATTCAGAAGCATGTTTGAGAAACAGATATACATGGATGTGACTCTTTAAACATCGGTGAAGCATATTCACTATTCTCATTATGGAAAGACCAGGCTCTCCTGGAGAGGTAACGACCGAGATGAATGAGAAGATAGGTGTTTGGGCCTCACAGCAGTTCCAACTTCACTCCAAAGAGATCAAAACTTCAATGAATTTTGAGACACAAGTGGCTGGTCATTGTTTTACCTCCAAGTTAAATATTTTTTCAACTGGCAATAGTTAGGAATCTACAACAAAAAAATTAAAAAAAAAAAAAAAAAAAAGAAGCACAAAAAATTAAGGATTAGGCTGTTTGTATAAGAAGAGTTTTACAAAATGGGTCATTACCCTTGTACGCTGACATTATAAAAATATTTTAAACTGTGATGGTTCTTAACAGATATTTCCTTTAGAAATTCAATCAATTTTTGGATAGGCCATTTGGAAAAACATACACGTTGGTTTAAAGCTTAATTTGCTTGGCAAGATAAAATAGATATTACATCAAAATTATTATCCTATAAAACATGATGCTAGCATGATAAGAGAACTGTGAAGGGACTGAAACTTTTCATAACTGCAAATGCTTGGAGACGCCCATTGTATGCAGCATGTAAGGGATTTTTTTCCGGAAGAAATGTTCTCCAAGTGTGGGAAAACTGGAATATACATGTTATAAGAAATGGATAAATGCATCAGTAGAATTTGATTCTTTCCAGTAAAATTAAAAGCTATGTGTACGTTAAACCTTAAAAATTGGTCACTTTTCACACACATTCTGGCAGTTTCATATAACACTGAGGTTTAATTGTTAAATGTTGATGTTACCTCTTTACTCCACTGTCATATAAAATAATCCCTGGCAAAGCTGCAGAGATTGACAAAAAAATCAACCCACACCAATGTAAAGCAACTTCAAGAATATGGCCATTCTTAATAACCAAATTTTAAAGAAAGCACTTTAAACCAGGGAGCCATAAAAGGACCTAAAATTATACAAAATCTTTCGAACAGAGACTCATAAAAAATAGTATTCTCCCTTATTTTTCTTGCCTCTGGGGAAAATTTAACAAGTTCCATGAGAACTAAACATGTTCAAAGGAGTCAGGAGAGTTAAAAGATAAGCAAGGGAAGTGGTTCGTCTCAATCCTGTCTATGATTAACGGGAAGACAATGGAAAGAAAGTAAAGTGTTTCAAAATCCCAACAAAGATGAGTATTTATGACATTAACATTTTGCAGCAGGCATTTAGAGACTGAGCTATGGCCAGTCTCACTTTTGAAACGTGTAGGAAAATACTGAGACTCACATGTCCAGTCCAGGCCTTAGGATGAAGTTTCTAGGGCTGCCTTAATACTGAAGACGCTTAGGAGCAACACTTACGGAACTCCACATCACATGGCCTCATCCTCATCTTTTCACAACGTCTTCAATAAACAAACATCTCTGTTTAGGTGTGCACCAGTGTTGAAACATGGCAGAGGGGTTTGCTGCATCTGGTGCAAATCCTACCTCCATGACTTAAGAGTCTGACCTCGGACAAGTTCGTATCTCTGAACCTCAGTGACTTTCAGTGCAAAAATAAAGATGGCGGCCACCACTGCGGGTGGTTACGAGCATCCAGTGTGCGTGCAGGTGTAAGCACCTGGCCTGGCCTGACCAGCAGGTAAAACTAAAAGAACCTTTTCTCTCTTCTTTGCACTCTTCCAATACAAACTGATAAAAATTATATTATTCCAATGCGGCAGATAGTAAACATTAGCAGGTTTTACAAAGAAGGGCATCATCTTGGTGCTTCAAATACGCTTCTCCTGCTACCATTGCAGGATTTGCTTTGTAGGCTCCTCGCCTGGGTCTTCGTCTGTCTATTTCTCCATCAGGATGTGAGGACTCAATGTGCCAACATGGCATACCCCATTACGTGATGCCTGCTCTGATCTGTACAGAACCATCTGCCAAGGGGCTTCTTTGCAGCAGAAACTCCTGAGCATAGTTATGGAAAATTTAAAAAAAAAAAAAGAAAAGAAAAGAAAAGAAAAAACAACCTCAAAACATATTGTCTTCTCCCTTCCCCTATTTGCTCCTTGCTGGTACACAGATGACCAATAATAAGTCGTATTTTTGCAATACAACTTACAATGGCTCAACTTAAGATTTTTCAACTTTACGATGGTGTGAAGATGATACACATTCAGCAGAAACTACACTTTGAGATTTAAATTTGGATCTTTTCCTGGCTAGTGATATGTGGCACGATGCTCCCTTGTGATGCTGGGCAGCGGCAGCAAGCCACAGCTCCCAGTCAGCCCTATGATCACCAGGGTGAACAACAGACACTGCGTGCACCATGTTGCCAAATGGCTCTGCCTGACTGTGGGCTAATGTGGGTGTTCTGAGCACATTTAAGGAAGGCTAGGGCTAAGCTACGATGCTCCGAAGGTCAGGTGTATTCCATGCATTTTCAATGTACAACATTTTCAACCTTCAATGGGCTTATCAGAACATAGCCCCATGGGAAGTCAGGGATCATCCGTATTGTAAATAGTGTCTAACTTACTCGGACATTTGTTCCTTTCTCAATGTCTAACAGTTTAATTACTTTACACTACTATACAGACATGAAGCAATGCAGCCACAAGGATTTATTTTCAGCACCGTTCTGTAGATTTCTTCCCCAAACTCAGTGGCCATTCCTTGTCTGCTGCATTCTCCATCCCCCCGGGGTGCCCTGTGGAAAATGATGTTTGAGGTTGCCCAGTTGTGTCAGGACTCTGTCTCTATGGAAGATGACTGGAGACCTGGGAGGAGGACCCTTGTGCTGCATTTCTCTCTCTTCTGTTTATCTGAAAGCAGCAGGAAAATAAATTACAGGGCTCTACAGTCGCTGCTGATAGTTGTGCAAGTGATATGTGTTGAAGGCTTCATGAAAACATCCCTCTTCGCCGAAGGATTTGATGATAAGTTGGTTCCTGTTTATACCAGTGCAAAATATTTTGTCCAGAGTATGCATTAGTCCATTAACGAGTACAGAACATGCTTCTGTAGAATAGCATTCTTCATTACGAAAAATTTTCCACTATGGTAAATCAATGACCCTAGCCAATTAAATTTGTTTTTTTCTCTTTGCACGCTTACAGGATTCACCTTAAAGGACTTACAGGGACAGCCGGCAAAATAAGCAGCATCAGTCAACCAGGAAATGATTTTAGCACAAAGGATGCAGACAACGACAAATGTATTTGCAAATGCTCACAAATGCTAACAGGAGGTAGGGATGACTTTCCGTCTTCCTATTTGTATTGGCAAGGAACGATTTCATAGAGGGAAAGGCTGGCAGTTTGGACTTCAAATTGTGATTGGTAATGATGTCCACAATTTCATACGTAGACACACTAGCTTGACATAGATAAATGTGTCTCACTTTTTTTTAGACTAAGTTTTAAGTGAGAATACGATATGGAGCTAGACTTGTCAGCAAGCCAACCGTGTTTCCTCAGGACCTAGCCCTGGCAAGGAGAGGGGATATTTGATTCTTAGCAAGCTCTCCTGGGTTTGTGCTTGCTGGATACTAGAGAGATGCTTTAATTACATTTTGCTTTATTTAAAAAGTTAAAAATTCCAAGTAGCAACCGAAACAGTAATACAGATTATAGAAATATTTCCAAATAATAATTTAATGTTCAAACAAGGAACTTCCAGTTGTCATTTATTATTTATTTATTTTGAGACAGAGTCTCCAGCTGTTTGTTTATTTATTTATTTTGAGACAGAGTCTCACTTTGTTGTCCAGAAGGGAGTGTGATCGCAGCTCACTGCAACCCCTGCCTCCCAGGCTCAAGCAATTCTCCTGCCTCAGCCTCCCCAGTGCTGGGATTATAGGTGCCCACTACTGGAGCGGCTAATGTTGTATTGTTAGTACAGAGAGGGTTTCATCATGTTTGCCAGGCTGGTCTCAAACTGCTGACCTCAAGTGATCTGCCTGCCTCAGCCTCCAGAAGTGTTGAGATTACAGGCGTGAGCCACCACACCTGGCCCCAGTTGTTTTTTTTAAAAAGATTTCATTAATATATAGCAAACACCTATAAACACAACGAGTTGACCAACCTCTTTTAGTAAATCAAATTAAAATGAGTGATCTTCTACTTCAAGGCCTTTCTGGTTTTCTACTTTTAGTATCAGACTGCCATAAAACAGACAATGAAAACCACACTCATAAGCAAAAGACCACTGTAGTAGTCACTTAAAATGGATGGGTTGGTATTCAGAAACATTTGAGAGTTCAAACATAGGAATCGACTTTTAGAAAATGTTATTTTTCTGGCCTGGTGGCGCACGCCTGTAATCCCAGCACTCTGGGAGGTTGAGACGGGCGGATCACCTGAAGTTAGGAGTTCGAGACCAGCCTGGCCAGCACAGTGAAACCCTGTCTCTACTAAAAATACAAAAATTACCCAGGCATGGTGGCAGGTGCCTGTAATCCCAGTTACTCCTACTCAGGAGGCTGAGGCAGCAGAATGGCTTGAACCTGGGAGGAGGAGGTTGCAGTGACCCAAGATCATGCCACTGCATGCTAGCCTGGGGGACAGAGTGAAACTTCATCTCAAAAAAAAAAAAAAAAGAAAAAAAGAAAACGTTATTTTTCTGATTTTTTAAAAGTTTAGAAATTCACTGACAGGCACAAACACTACTACTTAGTAACTGAGACAAGAAAAATGTCTGACAAATTCTGTCAAGTTAGTTCTTGAAAAACACTGAAAGATTTAAAGTAGCAACAAAAACTCTGCCAATAGTGCAAAATGGATGTAAAGAATAACAGGAAAAATGGGAGGGTTTAATTTCTAGAGAACATAAATCGTGTCTGCAAAAATTAATATGTTACCCACCCAAGAAAACCAAAAGTAAGAACTATGGTCAACATATTTTATAAATGAAAGTTACTACATTAAACAAATGGATGACCCAAGTTATGATGCATTTACACTATAGGAATCATTAAGAGGGCTGGGCGTGCATACTTGTAATCCCAGCACTTTGGGAGGCCAAGGCAGGCGGATCACCTGAGGTCAGGAGTTTGAGACCAGCCTGGCCAACATGGCAAAACCCCATCTCTACTAAAAATACAAAAATTAGCCAGGTGTGGTGGCGCACACCTGTAATCCCAGTTACCCAGAAGGCTGAGGCAGGAGAATCGCTTGAACCGGGGAGACAGAGGTTGCAATGAGCCGAGATCACACCACTGCACTCCAGCCTGGGCGACAAGAGTGAGACTCTGTCTCAAAAACAAAACAGAACAAAACAAAAAAACAAACAAAAGAAAACAAAACAAAAAAAAGCATCATTAACAGTCAAAAGGAAGATTTAGTAATGAAAATAATATGAAATTTGTTAATCTTCAAGTCTTTAAATTTCATGCCTTTTATACTGAAAGAATCAGGCCTCATAAAAAAAAAAAAAAAAAAAAGAAAGAAAAAAAAAAGCAATCCTCTGTTTCCTGAGAAAGTATGACTACTATTTGGTAACACAGGTCCTCCCTACTAACCATGATTACACCAATGAGCAAAGCCCTCATACTGATTTTGCAAAAGCTTCTTGTTTCCCTCATCCTGGCACAATCATCCTTTTTAAAGCTGAACAGCAGGGAAAGTGGTCAGGTGGAGGAGCCACAGATACCTAGGGCTTCGTTTCCTGTCTGCCCTTCCCCCTACATGCTGGACCCAGCTCTCTCCTTGAGAAGGTTGTGGTTGTTAGACCACCCGTATGTGGTGAGCTTCTCAGGAGAGTAGGAGAATCGCATTAATAACCAAGGAAACAATATATTTACTTACTCAAATCAAGATTTAGGGGCTGAGAATGTAATTGGAAAAGAGACTGAGGAGAGGAAAAACAGTCCAAGAGAGAAAGTGGAGTGGTCTTGCCTGTGAAGGGGTCAAATTCCAGCCAGTGGTCTGGACCATTAATGAACCAGCCTAATGAGCAGCTCCATTCTGCATGGACACCAAGTTCTCTAGTCAGACAAGCTCCAGAAGAGACTGACTTATGAATCTGTCAAAGTGCTGAATATGTGAAGGATTCTGAATAGAACACACAAACTTCCATCCAATCTGCATTCATCTGAATCAAATGAAGTCACTGAGCTGTTACCACCAGGAAAGAATGTAGGAACCTGGATGAAATAACTGGCACTCACAAAGCAAAGTGTAAACACAACATATACATAGAATATATATATTCTATATATAATATAACATATATTATATATTCTATATATAAAGGATAGTCTATATATACATATATAAAGAATATACACATTCTATATATAAAGAATATACATATTCTCTATATACATATATAAAGAAAATATATATATATATATTCTCTTTGGCATCAGAGTTTTTATTTAAGAAATAATACATTACAGGTAAGGCTAAAGAGGCCCTGCCAGTGCCATTCCCTACCTGCTGCTTGGGTCGAGGTTAATTCACTTTATTAATTTTCCTACATATGGAGATATCAATCATAATTATTTTCTGTATTTTAAAAATTAATATAAGGAGTATCATACTGTATGTGTCCCTCCAACACAGTGTTTTTTTATTCAGATTAATATTGTAAAATCAAGGTTACAGCAGTCCTCGCTTCTCCTTAGGGGAAACATTCCAAGATGTCCAGCAAATGCCTGAAATCACAGACAGTATCAAACCCTATGTGTTTATTTTTTCCTGTTCACACATATTTATGAAGTTTAGTTTGTAAACTAGGCACAACAAGAGACTTAACAACAATAATAAAACTGAATAATATACAACGTATTGCTTCCAATTTCATGGATATAAGATTTGTTCTTCTATAGATCTTAGCACCCTTAGAGTACGATTTTGTTCTCTCATTAAGTCAGGAACTTTCACCTTTTCACTTAAAGGAAGCACTTTACAGCTTCTCTTTGGCATATCTGAATTGCCAGCATCATCACTCTTGCACTTTTGGGGCCATTATTAAGTCAAATAAGGGTTACTTGAACATAAGCACTGTGATACAGCGTGGATCCACGCGATAGAGGGGATCATTCATGTTCTGGGAGGGAAGAAGGGGACAGCAGGAGATTTCATCCCGTTACTCAGAACAGCATGCAATTTAAGGCTTATAGATTATTTCTGCCGCCCAGGCTGGAGTGAGTGGCGCCATCTTGGCTCCCTGCAAGCTCCGCCCCCCGGGTTCTCGCCATTCTCCTGCCTCAGTCTCCTGAGTAGCTGGGACCACAGGCGCCGCCACCGCGCCCGGCTCATTTTTTTGTATTTTTAGTAGAGACGGTGTTTCACCGTGTTAGCCAGGATGGTCTGGATCTCCTTACCTTGTGATCCACCCACCTCAGCCTCCCAAAGTGCTGGGATTACAGGCGTGAGCCACCGCACCCGGCCCCTGCTTATAGATTATTTCTAGAATTTTCCATTTAATATTTAGAGCCGCAGCTGACTTCAGGTATCTGAAAGTGCAGAAAGCGAAAACAGCAGATAAGGGGGGACTACTGTGTTGCTTTCTCTTACAAACCCCAGCATGCTCCTGTTTTTGGCCAAGACCAGAAATTAAGGTGTAGATGGGCTTCACTCCCACAGCCCCTGTGCTGGGCACCTCTCCTGCCCTGGCTCTAGCTGAGTGAGCGCACACTCTCACTTTAAATTTCCTCTTTGTCTCTGAAACATAGAGACTTCCTTTTTATGTAGCTCCACTGAGTACTTAATAGTTTGGGTTAAAGTTCAATGAAAAAAAATCCTTTAATAGAGCAAGGGGAGCCTGAGCAAGTCCAGCCCACCATGTTGCTGGGACTGGTAAGTAATCCTGGTTGAAGGAGAGTTTTCCAACTGTGCCTCAGATGTTTGCTTATCCCTGCTGTAAGTGTGTACACACTGGGCTTACCAAATAGGACTGTGGAGAATTCAGGCCTCTCCACACAGCATAAGGGAAAAGGTGGAAGAACACTTGTAAAAGCATTTACAGTAATAAAACTGTGATGTCATGGGCGTACAGCTGGAAAACCATCCCTCTGCCAGTGCACATCCTATACTCACAATCATCTGCATGTGCCTACTCCACATGCCTGCAGCGTGCCTCCTGGCTTAGCTGAGTATTGCTGTCTTCGTTGTGGGTGCTGGCATCACCTAGTTCCTAATTCCTTCTGTGTTTTACTTTCACAGGCTGGTGGTTTGATGCATGTGGTCCTTCCAACTTGAACGGAATGTACTATCCACAAAGGCAGAACACAAATAAGTTCAACGGCATTAAGTGGTACTACTGGAAAGGCTCAGGCTACTCGCTCAAGGCCACAACCATGATGATCCGACCGGCAGATTTCTAAACACCCGAGTCCACCTGAGGAAGACTGTCTCGAACTATTTTCAAAGACTTAAACCCAATGCACTGAAAGTCACGGCTGCGCACTGTGTCCTCTTCCACCACAGAGGGCGTGTGCTCAGTGCTGACGGGACCCGTGTGCTCCAGATTACAGCCTGTAAACTTTGTCACTTAAACTTGCATCACTTAACAGACCAAAGCAAGACCCTAAACATCTGTAATTGTGATTAGACAGAACACCTATGGAAAGATGAACCCGAGGCTGAGCATCAGATTGACAATTTACAGACTCTGCTGTCACAACGAAGAATGTTATGTGCAAGTTTATCAGTAAATAACTGGAAAACAGAACACTTATGTTATACAATACAGATCATCTTGGAACTGCATTCTTCTGAGCACTGTTTACACACTGTGTAAATACCCATATGTCCTGAATTCACCATCACTATCACAATTAAAAGGAAGAAAAAAATCTCTAAGCCATAAAAAGACATATTCAGGGATATTCTGAGAAGGGGTTACTAGAAGTTTAATATTTGGAAAAACAGTTAGTGCATTTTTACTCCATCTCTTAGGTGCTTTAAATTTTTATTTCAAAAACAGCGTATTTACATTTATGTTGACAGCTTAGTTTTAAGTTAATGCTCAAATACGTATTTCAAGTTTATATGGTGGAAACTTCTAGGATCTCTGAAATTATCAACAGAAACATGTGCCATTTTAGTTTATATGCAGATTGTACTATTTTTTTCTGCCTGATTGTTAAATATGAAGGTATTTTTAGTAATTAAATATAACTTATTAGGGGATATGCCTATGTTTAACTTTTATGACAATATTTACAATTTTATAATTTGTTTCTGAAAGAACTAATTGTGCCTTGTGATAAGGAAACCTTTGATTTTAATGATGAGGAAAATTATACATTTCATTCTATGACAAAGAAACTTTACTATCTTCTCAACTATTCTAAAACAGAGGTGTGTTTTCTTTTCTAGTAAGATATATTTTTATAGAACTAGGCTACAATTTAATTTGTAGTTGAGAAAAGCCTTCTATTTAAGAAATTTACGGCCGGGCGCGGTGGCTCAAGCCTGTAATCCCAGCACTTTGGGAGGCCAAGGTGGGCAGGTCACCTGAGGTCAGGAGTTCAAGACCAGCCTGGCCAACATGATGAAACCCCGTCTCTATTAAATAATACAAAAACTAGCCAGGCGTGGTGGTGGGCGCCTGTAATCCCAGCTACTTGGGAGGCTGGATCAGGGAGAATTGCTTGAACCCAGGAGGCGGAGGCTGCAGTGAGCCAAGATCACGCCACTGCACTCCAGCCTGGGTGACAGAGCAAGACTCCATCTCAAAAAAAAAAAAAGAAAATTTGAGAACACAGCTTTATACTCAGGATTACAAAACCATAAACTCCTAGAGTTTTAACTCCTTTTGAAATTTTCATAGTACAATTAATACTAATGAACATTTGTGTAAAGCTTTATAATTTAAAGGCAATCTCTCATATATTCTTTTCTGAATCATTTGCAAGGAAGTTCAGAGTCCAGTCCACAACTAGCATCTACTATACGTCTGTCTTTACCTTAAAGTATTCTACCATTATTTTTTCTTTATTCCATTTTAAAATCTAATTTATTTTACGCCAACTTCTCCCCACTCCCTTGACGTAGTTTTAGAACACATAGGTGTTGCTACATATTTTGAGTCAGTGATGGACTCTGGCAAAGTCAAGGCTCTGTTTTATTTCCACCAAGGTCCACTTTTCCAACAACTATTTAACTGAGTCAAGAACCTCCCTACCTTAGAACTGTATCTACTTTATATTTAAGAAGGTTTTATGAATTCAACAACAGTATCATGGCCTTGTATCAAGTTGAAAAACAACAGAAAATAAGAAACTTTCACAGCCTCAAAAGACAACAACAAGTTTCTATGATATTTCAATGACAACAGTGATGGATACCTAGGCAGGGAAATGATAATGCAAGAACAACTGGCAACAACACAATTCATATCAATTTTTCATGTAGGCAGGTGAAACAAAATTCAAGGACAAATCTCATTATGTCATTGGGCATCATATATAATCTCATGACCGAGAATGGGGGGAATTTGTGTTTTTACTTTACACTTAAGTTCCTTACACAGTATTTCAAACAAACAGTTTTGCTGAGAGGAACTTTTCTCTCCTTAAGAAAACATTTATAAAGCTGAAAGGAAATCAAACAGTAATCTTAAAAATGAAAACAAACAACCCAACAACCTAGATAACTACGGTGATCAGGGAGCACAGTTCAACTCCTTTTTATGTTTTAGCCATACGGCCTACTCAAACAGCTATATAACAATACGGGTGGCAGATAAAAATCACCATTTATCTTTCAGATATTAATCTTTTGAATGAATAAACTGTCACATGCAAGTTAACATTTTTGAACATGAAAGACAACTTCCGCACAATTCTATATCCAACCAAACCTTAAATTACCCACTTAATTATTACTTCATCTTAAAAAAAATTAGAACCCAGAACTTTTCCATGAAGCATTTGAAAGTTGAAGTGAAATTTAGGAAAGTCATAAAAATATAAAGACTGTTATCACAGCACCAGCAAGCCATAATTTTTAGATCTATCAGTTCTGCATAGATCTATTAACAGTAAAAACATTAAGCAAGATATTAGACTACTTGCCCAAGAATTCAGTCTTTTTTCAATTTTGTTTTTCTCAATTCTGAGGACTTTAATCATTAAATTTTCTTTGGACTGCATTCCTGACTACTTTTTGCAGAATGGTCTCACGTTCTCACATTTGTTCCCACAAATAAATTGATAAAAGATGTTAAGTTCTGTGAATGTCTTTTTAATTATGGGCATAATTGTGCTTGACTTGATAAAAACTTAATTCTACCCTTACGTTTGTAATAATTTCTTGAGAACACCAAATTGCGTTTACCATCATAAAACAATATCTGACTTACAGGAGCTGCAGGGAAGTGATTAGACAGTTCGAATGGCTCCTCAGAAATCCAGTGACCCAATTCTAAAGACCATAGCACCTGCAAGTGATACAATAAGCAGATTTATTATACATTTATTAGGCTTAGCAGGCAATAAACCAAGAGTCACTTTGAAGACACAGCAAAAACAAAACAAAAAATTCAGCAGTGATACACTCCGCAGATCTGAAATAGATGTGTTCTCAAACAATAAAGTCCCTTCAGAATCTTCATGTTGCATAAATGTTATGAATATTAATAAAAACTTGGTTAAGAAAAAGTCTCAAAACAAGAAATCTGAGTCACTATTCTCATGAGGCTGAATATTTAAATATCATCCTGTTTTTACACAATGAAATATTATATATATATTTTTAATTCCAAGTTTCTAATTTGTGAAGTTTTATAAACAGTCCTCTATAAATATTCCAGACTTTTATTAATTAAAACAGTGAATTAACAGAAGATGGATCACAAGCCTAAATTCAAAAGCAATCCCTTTGGCTTGCGACTTTGTTTCTAACATTGGCTAATACTTTCAGAAGTCCCCTGGAATACACTTGAAATTCCTTCCCAGACTTTGGAAGAGTAAAATGTCCCATAAACAAGCTTTCATCATCATCATTATCATCATCATTATACTCTGAGTATTTGAATCCCCACACTTTTAAAGGATCAATACAATATTTTCCTTTTTAATTCAGTAATATCTGAGGTTCTGCAGCCATCTCTACTCCAGGACCAAAATCCCTGAAAATCTGTCTCTATACAGCCGAAGTTTAGAGCTAAAATAATAAAGCTGGATTATATAATTCCTGTTTGTTTATTTGTTTATTTATTTATTTATTTTTTGAGACAGACTCTCACTCTGTCATCCAGGCTATAGTACAGTGGTGCAATCTCAGATCACTGCAACCTCCACCTCCCAGGTTCAAGCGACTCTCCTGCCTCAGCCTCTCGAGTAGCTGGGACTACAGGCACCCAGCACCACACCTGGCTAATTTGTTTTGTATTTGTAGTAGAGATCAGGTTTCCCCGTGTTGGCCAGGCTGGTCTCGAACTTCTGGCCTCAATTGATCTGCCAACCTCAGCCTCAATGCATGTTATTTAAGGAGATATACTAACAATATGTGAGGCTCCCCACAAACTCATAAAATTAACCCAGAAAATAAAAGGTAAAAATCAGGTTCATTTCAGACAAGAGGCGACATAAAAGAACAGTGCAGTGAGAAATACAGTGGACCAGTGACAGCAGCCAGGAACCAGACTTAAAAATGCGTGTGGCGTTCAAGTTCAAATACAATCCACATTAAAATGTCAACCGAATTTAAACAACCTTATGGAGAAAATTTATGTCCTCTGAATTTAGCCCTTTCTAAATGTTAAGAAAATAAAACCATAAGAGGCTAAAGTAGAGTTCTGGTCAGTAAATTAATTAATTTACATAGGCATCCCAGGAATTAATATTGTGTAGAGATAGGAGAAAACACTAATTGAGTTGTATTAAAATCATCAAATCAGAAATACAGTGTAAACATTTTGCTCCAGTAGTTTCATCGGCCAAACACATCTTTACCTTAATAGAGTGTTCAAAATAGTGAAAATCTACTTTGAAAGAGCACAGGTAAGGCTGTACACAAACTTAAAAACAAAAGGTTGGCTCAACATATTTCTCATAAGAAGGGCAGAGTGAATTCAGCATCCACTGCATCGGGAATTCAGCATCTTGTAGGTAACACATTACATAATGAAAATAGTGTTTTTTACATTGTAATATTATCATTCATAAAACCCAAACCTTGCTGATGAATGTAAACAGTAACTACATCTGTGAATAGAAACTGCTTTATTTCTTCCTGTCTGATTTGTACGCACACTTTATTTCCCACCTTATTACACTGGGTAAGACCCTCCTGTTCAAGGCAGGGAAGGAGCAGTGAGAGCATTAGAGTTCTTTGAACAGCTTTGTGAGGCAGACTTCTTCAGTTTATTGTGGTATAGGATATCATAAAAACCTAAAGTGTTCAACGTAATGTACCTATGTTCAAATCAATGTATGTATTATGTTAATGTGTCTATGTTCAAATTAATCTATAGAAAGCACAAGCTTTTTTTCTGTCTTTATATTTTCGAAGCCACTTTAGCTTCATAGCAAAGTTAAGAGGAAGGTACAGAGAGCTCCCATACACCTCCTGCCCCAACACATGCATTTCAGTGTCTCCCACTGGAGTGCTACATGTGTTGTACCCAGTCATCCCATGTTGACACATCATTATCACCCAAAGTCCACAGTTTAAATTACAGTTCCTTAGAAGTGAAAAGCACATACTATGATGGAGTACTGGTGCTGGCCAGTGGTTGCAGTGCTTCCCTAAGCTCTTTTCAACTTCCTATTTCTTCTTCTTTTCTTTTGAGACAGAGTCTTCCTCTGTCCCCCAGGTTGGAGTACAGTGGTGCAATCTTGGCTCACTGCAGCCTCCGTCTTCCAGGTTCAAGCAATTCTCCTGCCTCAGCCTCCTGTGTAGCTGAGACTACAGGTACACATCACCATGCCTGGTTAATTTTTTTCTTTTTTTTTTAGTAGAGATGGGGTTTCACAGTATTGGTCAGCCCTGTCTCGGCTTCTCAATGTGTTGGGATTACAGGCATGAGCCACTGCACCCAGCCCTCTCAACTTCTTATTTCTCAAAGAATTACAAATATCTGAGTGATCAAAAGGATTACTGTTAAACATCGGTAAATGTTACATCTCCAATTAGGATCAATCACATTAATTTTTATTTATTCATTAGCTTATTAGTATTTT